TGTACAGCCAATGTGACCTGCCCCACAAGAGCAAATTATTTTATTACTACTATAATCCTTATGTTTTTCATTTTTCTCCACACCTGTCAAGTGGACAATTATCTTTCATAATTCTGATCCGTAAATGACTTTCATCCTTCAATTCTTCTCTGACACTGATTATTACGCAACATCATTTGATAACTGGAGACTCGAATCAACTTATGATGCAATCTTTTCTATCCTTCTATAGACATATATTTACCATACGACTATAAATTAGAATGTACATCTTAAGTAAATAATTTCATGGAAAAGAAAATTTTCTTCACTGAATCCTGTTTATTTATGGAAAAATGACAAAATAGGCTCATTTTTTAGATTGAATCTTTTAGCTACATTCAAATAAATATTCCTTTCAGAAGGAGTTTTGTGGAGATTTTAGAAAACTCACTGATTGAAATCCAGAGATACTCCTGGAGTTCTAGTGAGAAGCCGTCATCATTGGAGTTCAACCTGGTCTGTTGTGAGATATCAACTCTCTGAAGACAATGGTGTACGGTGGCGCAACTTCGTGGATTAGTTGAAGCTAGAAATTAATACCGTTGGATACCAACTGGCTCAGTGGTCTAGTTGGTTAAGCGCCTGGCGCGAGACTGGCAAATCCTGGGTTCGAGTCTCGCGGGGGGTGGGATCGTGGATGAGCACTGCTGAAGAGTCCCATACTAGGACGAAACGGCCGTCCAGTGCTTCCAGGTTTTCCATGATGGTCTAGCTTCAATTGACTGATTATTTCAATAAGTGAAATATTCCTTTTTTTCATTTGATTATACGAGATTCTTGTTTATGTAAGAAAAGTTTATTAAAAGATAAAAAAGTACCACACTAAATAGCCCACCTGGGTGTAAATCCTTCCATATTTATCCACTACGAATCTATGTAAATTTCATTTATCTTGATCTTAAATGGTGATAATCTATTAAATCATGTCAACCAAATATTAACTAGTAAATATCTTTTTTTATCACATATAGTACACACTGAATTATTTATCCATTTCGTATGTGAATCGATATATAATATTACTGATCCAAGACGTTGGTAAATGGTAGTCAGCTTTCTTATCACTTTAAATCATTTTTATGTAAAACTTCCTTTATCAATACATTAAGAACGATACCGTCTATTCTATAATAAAAAAGAAAGAAAAAAGAAACCCATATTTCTTTCACACAACCACCTCAAGACAGAAACATAAATACATGTTGACCAGTGATTTACTATATTGATTTTTCAATAGTTTATTTTATCTATTTTACATATATGTCATTCATATAATCAAAGATATATAAAAATATTATCAAGTTGAATGATCGCTTTATTAACTATATGATTGACCTGAAAATATCAATTTATTGGTAGATGAGTATCCTTGTGAACTCATTCGTTTATTTATAATGATTACATAGATATGTCTATTTATATTTATCGGTCTTTAATACTTGAATAATCAATTTTAACTATAATTGACAGTATTTATTTATTTTCATTTATCATATGAACAATGAGTAACACAATCATTAATCATCTTAACAATAATTAAATAATGGCAATGATTTAATTAGTACATAAATAAACTATATATGCTCCATGAAGGTAAAATACTGTAGAATGAATCAAAACAAATAAGTGAATGGATACATAATGAATAAAAGTTCCTTAAGTAAAAAAAAAGTATCACAAATTCTGTAATCATTTTTTTCTTGATTTTCTTAAATTTCATTTCCATTTTCCAATTTAATCGATAATTGTCCGCTGTTCCCATTAAGTAACAAAACCAAAAAAAATTATTCAAATACACAAACATACATTTGTATATATGTATAGAGATAGATAGATAGATAGATAGATAGATACATATTTTGAAAGTGATGTTTCTATATCTTAGGGTAAAAGGAAAGAGATGGGTTTAAATTTCATTTATAATCAATTGTTATTCATAGTATAAAAGTAATATCTACTTATAATACACAGAATTATATACAATTTATGCATAGAGTAAAGTGTATTTCTCAGTATGTTTCCGTATCTATATATATATGAGTATATTTCAACCAATTGCGTATCTAATACACATGGATAGAGGAAAAAGAAAATACCTAATTAGCATTTTTCTTCGTTTTTCTTTTCTATTTAATATGCTCTACTGATGTTATTATTGTTTTGTTTAGCTTTTTGTAACAATCAAAAAAAAAACTGACCTAATTTAAAATACGTGTAAAATTCAAAACAATTTACACAATAATGATAATCGTAGTAACTTTGTTTTGTGTTTCAATATTTCTAGAGATATTTCCACTTCATCAGTGCAGAGTATGTTGTGTGTTTTGTTGTTCTGAAGAAAAAAAGTTTCTGTATATTCAAGGAAAAGATTGAAATTCCCCTTCAACCTTCTAAAAAAAAAACAATAACATGATTTGTTATTTGGATTCCTGTTGTTTAATTTAATAATTTTTACTATCTACATTTGGTCAAATGATTGACTGACTGTAATCAATATGAAATGAAATAGAATATTAAAAAAAGAAATGAAAACAATCCACATTATGTATAAAGTTAAAATGAGAAAAACATTTAAAAGTTATATTTTGATTATGTTCAATGAATTGAAATGATCAATTAATTTAGATTATAATAAATTTAGTTTAGGTTAAATAAGTTTCTAATTAAATTGATCAACCATTATAAACAATTATGGTTAAGAAGTTAGTGAAAAAGTGTACTTCATTGTAGTAAGTAAATTTTATTGTAACCATAAATTTTTCATAAAGATATTACTATATTATATTTATAAATTAACTATTCTCTTAGTTGAGATCATGAGTCAATTGAAGCTAGACCACTATGGAAAACCTGGAAGCACTGGATAGCCATTTCATCCTTCAAGTGGTATATCTTGGAGTTTTAGTGAGAACTAGTGACTAGTGGAGTTCAACCAGGTCTGTTGTCAAATAGTAACTCACTCATGACAATGGTTAATGTGTCACTCAATCTTGTGGATTAGTTGAAGTTAAACATTAACACCATTGGATACCGACCGACTTAGTGGTCTAATGGTTAAGTGATCGCGCACCAGACTGATTGGTCCTGGATTCGAATCTCGTGGGGGATGGAATCGTAGATGCTCACTGCTGAGAAGTCCCATACTGGGACGAAACAGTCGTCCAACATTTCCACGTTTTCCATGGTGGTCTAGCTTCAAATGACTCATGATCTCAACCATTGAAATTACTATAGTGTACACAAAACCCCTTCTGATAATAAATAAACTATTGGTCAAGCTATTGTATACTCACTGATGATTTAAACTCAATTACAGAACAATGAAATATAACGTTTTAGACCATAAAATCTGCTAATGACCTGTAGATTATCAAGTCATTCCTGTTAATGAATCTTTTTCTTTCTTATGAAAATTCATCTGTGCTATTATACGATTTTCATGTAGATAGAAGTAAATTACATAATTTTCACGTAAAAGTTTCTCTTTTTTAATAAATTTCACAATCCTATTTTGTTTTGACTAAATATTTGTAGAGAATATAAATGAAGTATCAAATAATAATTATCATAGTAATGTATATTCTCTGGTAGGAACTACGATGATGTTTTTGGTCATGATAGTTAATAAGTCTTGAATTATATGAATAGATTACACTCCATATATCATACGATGTAGGTTAACTAAATCTCTTATGAAATACATATGATTATATAAACTGAATGAGAATAGCTGTGTCTGACTACTGAACTGTAATAGACATTCTTTTCAGTATGATAAGTAAATTATATATCTTATAAAATCAATATGATATAACTGTGATTGGATAATAATTTCACTTTGTTACTGTGTTTATGACAACGAATTTGAAAAGAACAGCTTATACCATAGCATATATATATATATGAACACTTGGATGTCTTTGACAAAAACTTCAATAGCGTAAAGATAAATTCTATCGTGAACTAATGTTATCTAGAGTTTCACTGAAAAACATAACTTGTGGAGTCAAAAAAGCAGGCAGTGACATAGTACCTTACAAACCACATCAGATGAGGGTTTTGCTACATAACATTTTGTAATAATAGTCCAAATAAAAATCATACTCTGTGTAAAAGCTTAAGGTTCTTTTTCTGCCCTCATATATAGTTTCAAGTGTGTCTTACAGTAGAGATGTAGACTGTAAAATAACATCTGTCCAGCGTTTCTCGATTTCCAGTAATTTACCAAATGGAACTAACCTATAATGAATGTCATCATATCAATCAAATAAACCAAACTATCCTATTAAACCAGTCACCATACTCTATGTAATGTGAAAATTAAGTTTCATTTATCAGGTTATGTGGTCACTGCATTAAATATGAGAATAGTTAAGTTTATAACTTTCTGTGAATTATTCGTAGATTATTGATATCTTAGGTATTCCATTGAATTGTATTAACATTTCTTATTACATTTGTTGATTGAAAAGATCTAATTATTGACAAACTTTATCGTAGTTGATTCTATAAATATTGATTTTAAGTAAAAAATTATAACTGAAGTATCATTTGTTTCATAAACCAGAAAACAATTCTTATAACACTCTTAAATGAAATGTAACTTTGATGAAGTACGATTTTATTTATTGACATTCATATATCCATTTACTTTTTTCCAAGTATGAAAAATTCATACTTTATGGATAGAAAAAAAAAGAAAAGAAATTGAAATTACTGACGTATTGGTGTAAAACATACCACTTTCCTTTGATTCCTTTCACGTGATGTTGACTGAATTTAAGTAGTATAAATAAATCATTTCGGAATGATAAAATCATAAATTTTGTTATTATTTAAAGCTTTAAACATTTTGCCTTAAGGATAAATGACAAAGATTTTTTTAATAATTCTAAACAGTATTCCATGAAAGTTATAGATACAATAACTGTGAATTTTTTCTTTATCTTTACATTAAGGAAATTCAATGTTCTATAGTCCATCAACAGGTGTTATGGTTAATCCACATACTGGACTACTACCATCTACATTAGATCCTAATCAAATGAGAAATCAAGATTCTCAAACTATCAGTTATGATTTACTCAATTCATCATCGAATTTATTATCTCTTTTAACTCATTCATTGCAACCTATTCAATCAACCACATTCGTCACTTCTAATCCGCGTATCCCAATCATTACGAATACAACTGATAATAATAACGATAAGAACAATCATTTAAATATGTATAATAATACTAACAGTAACTGCAGCAGTATTAACAATAGTTGTAATCAGTCAACAGCACAAAATAAAGAACAACAGGTAGCAGAATTTATTAATACTAATCGTGCCAATAAATTACAGTTTTTATTGAATTCTGTGACCATAAATTCAATATTACAAAACGGAGAAACCACTAATCATAGTCCTTTAATTAATTCTACAACTCATTCCTTACAAACAGATATTATAGGAGCAGAAAATGATCAAGTTGAAATTAGTCAGCATTCACATTCTCTTACTAATCATCTTTCTCATTCTTACTCAACTTATAGTCAACATAATCAACCACAATTACAAATATTCGGTCCATCAACAGTCCCATCGGTTCAACAATCATCAATTACTGGAATAAATTATCATCCATCAACCGTATCTGAGAATCTTGTTACAAGTGGTCAAGCACATTATCTTATTACAGGTGCACCAAATGGAACAAATCCTAGTCATACAACAATATTTGCTAATCATATACAAACCTCACCAGTTACATTGATTCCAGAAATTGATTATAATGTAAGATTATAACTATTGTTGTTTTCATGTAAAATGAATAAATAACTTTTTAGCAATAGAACTAAAACCTGAAATTTTTATTAAACAAAATCGATTCTATTTAAAGCAAAGATAGATAGTGGCTAGCAATAGAATCCAGGACGTGCGTTCCTCCCTATTTGCAACTCATCAACTGAATTTACCTGCATCCCAGAATTCATATTCACTGTAAGACTCAAACCCAGTGCCGTTCGCTTCAAATACCATCGCGTTATCCACTTAGCTACTGATTCCTGATAGCCACCTTTTTTTGCAATGGGGTGAATTTTTTTATATCACTTGATGTTCTTTTACTTGTATCTCCCCATCGTTATTTAGGACAGCAATTGATCAGTTTCTTGTTGGGATACAAGTACATCCAGCTGATGGGTCCCGAATAGGACGAAACGCACATCCTGGAATCCACTACTAGCCACCATCTATCTTTGCTTAATAAGCTTGTGACTTAAGTTTATATCGAGGCAATTCACACAGGATGTAAATATACCAACCAGAGACTAATCAATTGAATACCTAAATAACACAGTGAGAAGATACAAATAAAACAACAACAAGTGTATTTAAAATCAATTCTATTTTATAAATGAAGAATGAGTACCAAGACAAACAAAAAAATTAAATCTAAAGTTTAAAATTTCAAGAAGAAAAAAAGCGGGAACAAAAAAAAGATCAGTGAATAGGAATACATAAATGTATACAGATGTACTTGCTTAAGTTATCAGTATTTCATGTATGTAATATACAATTTTAAAAATGATAAACTACATTATTTCATGACTGGTTAATTTTTATAATTGTGTGAGAATGAATTTTTTTTAAAGTTAAAACTAACTAGAAACAATAATAACTCAATCAATTGATATTTCAATTTAGTTAATTTTATCAATATATAACTCCATTATGATCCAATAGAACATTTGAATATATATTTAGTTTACATAGTAACTATTCAATTAGATGATTTATTGGATTAAATTGATCAACTTTTTGTATTATAAAGAAATGGATAGTTTATCAATTTATTTATTTATTCATTCATTTATTCTTTTGAATTTCGTTGACACATTAAAACAAAAAAGATAAAATTGAATTTTTGTTTAAACTAGTTTTTTTAATGGTTGAGATCATGGGTCGTTTGAAGCTAGACCACCATGGAAAACCTAAAAGTGCTGGATAGCCGTTTAGTCCTATTGTAAGACTCCTCAGCAATGCGCATCTACGATTCCACCCCCACGAGATTCGAATCCAGGACCTATCAGTCTCGTGCGCGATCACTTAACCATTAGACCATTGAGTCAGCCGGTATCGAACGGTGTTAATGTTTAACTTTAACTAATCCACGAAATTGAGCGACACATTCACCGTTGTTATAAGTGAGTTACTATTTGACAACAGACCTGGTTGAACTCCACTAGTCACTAGTTCTCACTAAAACTCCAAGATATACCTCTTGAAGCCAGTCACTAGTGAGCATATGTAGACTCTTGATCTCAGCCATTGAAATTACTATAATATCCACAAAACTCTTTCTGATATTACACTAGTTTCCTTGAATTTTTCGTTCTTTTTCTTTTTCTTTCTTTATGTTTTCTTTATTTTTTTGACAAAATTTATTATCATTAGTATTATATATAAATAATTTGAGCGTAATCAAACAAACAACTTTTACTCTAATTTCTACTTCATTAACTCTGACCTGATAAAACTAGTTAATTAAGTAAATTAATTCAATTGTTTTCTTTTTTCTATGTATATCATCTAAGGTTAAGTAAATAAAGATAGAATGAAATCAAAGTGAAATACTTCACTACTTTTTTACAAAATTAAAGTGATTATTTATTAGATATTGATTCGACTTAAAAGATAGTAAGCATCCTGAATGGATAAGAAACTGGAAACCTAAATAAAAATGTATTAAAGAATATTAAGTGATTATTTATCATAGTCATGAAACTAGTTAATAGTATCCACATAAGTAATATATAACGATATCCAGGAATACAATATATTTCCGTAGAAGATCGAGAGGGGAAGAACAGAAATGGAAAGCATTTGGTATGAAAACACAGGAACAATAAAATTCGAAACGATTGACTGATATTTGCAAAAGGGACAGTCAAGTTTGAGACAGTTGATTGATATTTTGAAAATTAAATATTTACTGTGTGATTTTCAGATTTTGCTCAGAGACTACGTAATTTTGTGTTCAAATACATTCGACTGTCCATACTGGTGTTCTCGTTCACTAAAGTATCATTTTTGTTGATTTGTTACGATTTGATGAAAACATCTTTTTCAAAAAACAGGCCATTTCACTGAGTGACTTATGAATCGCTATTAATATTGTAGAACTCATGTAACTGCTATGTTTAAGAATGTTCTCTACACTTCTGTGGTTAAAATAACCGAATCCAATTTGGATGAAATAGATTAATTTTTTTCAAAATTCGCAAAAATCAAATCACGAATATTGTTAACTCAATCATAAAAGTGAAAGAATTAATAAAGATGAAATTGCTGAAGTTTTTTTTGCCTGATAGAGAGTGTCTGTTTAGATGGAATTAGACGAAATATTATCAGTATAAATGAGATGAGGTGTGTTGTTGACTCTTCTTTAGTTTCCTATTTCCTTAACTTCTGTTTACTGTTGAAACCATTTCGTTCGACAACGAGTTGGTTTACATTTGAAATTTGAGTCTGAGAGGTTGATATATTTTATCAATGTCAACAGTGTTGTGAGACATTAAATGATAAATAACACTCATAATGAGCGGTTTAATATAAAGCTCCTAACTTAAATTGTCGACTAATTGAGAACTAAGAAACTTATTTTTACGTCAAAGCTTTACTTAGGTGTTAACTCAGTTATCAAATGTCGTGCTTAATTGATATCTTGAGCATCTAATTGTTCTCATTTCATCTTCCCAGATGGTCATATATTTGAACGTGAATCGAACAAACTTAGATATGCTAAACACGGGTTATCAAACAATCTAAGTGTAGTAAGCTGTTAACTTTCACTAAAAAGAAAAATAGCTAATTCCTAAAGGTGAACGATTCTTGTCAAACTGTAAACATAAAACGAAGTTTATCGTGAACTAGTTTCATATGAATTCAACAGATATTCAACTGTTATAAGCTTAATGAATGTTAAGATTTTGGTTTTATAACTGGCTGAAATATTCCTTATTATCCAGAATTCATTATTATAGACTTATATCATTGACCAAACTAACTTCCACCAAAATTTAGATTGTTATTTTGTAAATTAATCCTAATCAAACAAACATGTAACAGCCAATCTTAAATCTACCTAAAGTGGGTAAACAATTATGAGTAATAAAATAACCTCAAAGTCTTTTATCAAATGTTACTAACTATTCTGTACATCCGTATCGCTTATTATTTATACCTGAATAAACGAGGAACCACTGTAATTCTCACAACGCGAAGTAAGAACACAAAGACTGGTACAAATGAACATTTATTAACCCAAAAACTTAACGACGTCTTTAGTCGAAAATGCGTCCATTTTCTATTTATTGTACATTCATTTTGAATACCAAAATAAAGGCACATATATGAAAAATACCCAGAGTTATAACAAAATCACATACTATATGTCATACTGAGCATAGTTTATGTTATTTTTTTAGTACAAAACTGTGGTATCTTGAATAAGACATCACACTCAAATAAATTATTGTTTTACCAAATAAAATATTACACTGAAAACAGAAAACAAAAACTATACTGAGTAATCATTACATTGAAATAAAAATAAAAGTAATATTGAACAAAAGAAGATCACAATGAATAAACGAATGTAATTTTGTCTTTATATCCTATCATATTGTGGTTTGTGCTACTGATATCGATAGATATAAGTAGTATGTATTATCAATCGAAAGTCAAATGTCTAGCAGTAGAAAATTACAAAGATCAAACAAAAGAGAACGGGAACAAAATAAAATGATTGGTATGAAAACGAAGGAATAATCAAGTTCAAGACAATTGATTAACATTTTATAAATGAAGTATTTGTTGTATAGATCTCAGATTTTTTTAAAACATTCTATAATTCTGTTTTCGAATACATTCAATTATCCTCACTAACGTTCTCGTTCACTATAATCACTGAATAGAATTTGATAAATACAAAGAAGTGTATAGATATGCATTAAATTTATGACTTTTAGATGTTGCTTTTAACTTGACAAATATGACAATAAGTGAATTTCTTTATATATATATATATATATATATATATATATATATATATATATATCAATTTCTTTTACAGACTTGTTCAATTATACATACATATAGAAATGGATAATATGATTTTTGATTAGTTCTTCATTTAACTTTAAATTTACCTCTAAAATTGAAGTGAGTTAATTCAGTTTTATTTATATTAATCTGAATCATTTATTTAATTTTTTTTTCCTGTTTTTTTTGTTGTTGTTGATAACATTTATTGAATCTACTTCAATGTGCAGTTGTTTTAAAGTAAATAAATTTTTAAAAAATTTCCCTTGAAAAATTTAAACAATTTATTTTTTCAATGGTTGAGATCATGGGAAACCTGGAAGCATTAGATGGCCGTTTTGTCCTAGTATGGGACTCCTCAGCAGTACACGTCTACGATTCCACCCCCCGCGAGCTTCGAATCCAGGACCTATCAGCCTCGTGCGCGATCATTTAACCACTAGACCACTGAGTCAGTCGGTATCCAACGGTGTTAATGTTTAACTTTAACTAATCCACGAAATTGAGTGACACATTCACCATTGTCATGAGTGAGTAACTATCTGACAACAGACCTGGTTGAACTCCACTGTGTTCTTTTTAGCTTTTCAGAGCTTCTTAGAATATAATACTTGTTTGACTGATACTTTATTAACTATATAATGTAGCCTTTTATCAGGTGTATTATACTGTAAATTTACATTCAAGTAAATAAGATTTTTAAAATTTGTATTTGCTTTAGAATTATTATCTATGATATATCATTATAAATGTTTATTATAAAATGTAGCTGAAATAATTGACAAGATTTTATTCATGAACTTTCCAATAATAATTACATAATGGCCTACAATTCATCCTTGTATTGGTCGTTTGAATCTTTTCGTTGATGTTTAGAACTGTTATTGATCAGTCTTTCACCGACATATGTGCATCCTGTGCGGATTGCCTCGATATTACATTAAGCCACAAGCATTAAAAAGAGAGATGCATGGTGGCCGGCAGTGAAATCTAGGAAGCGCGTTTCGTCCTATCTCGAACCCGTTAGCTGGATATATCTTCATCCCAGAATTGATGTTCACGCAGGAACTCGAACCCAGCATCGTTCACTTCAAACGTCATCGCGTTATTCACTTAGCTACTGAGTTCAGGTAGTCACTAGCTTGTGCAATAGGGTGAACCTTATTCGTCTTTTGTATTGTTTGTTTGAATCTTTCTACTGATTGCCCCGATATTATTTCCCAAATATCTGTCCCACCGCATTTATACAAATGAAATGTAATCATTTCGTGCAATTAATATTCAGTTGAGACGGAACCACCCTACCTACCAATAATAAGTAGTATAATTTAGACTACACAAAAATTGATGTATAGAATTTAGTCTAAGTACTTAATAATACTTAATTATATCATGAATACAAGTTATAGATAATAGGAATTGCAGTCTAGTATCTAGAGCTTTATAATCTAATTTATTTTATTTTATTTCAGTCGTTTTACAGGCACAATAATCAAATGATTGGGTGAAAACATTCCTACTAATTTCATGTAGTCAATAAAAATATATTATATTTTTTTATTAAATTGTTCTCAACTCAACCAAAATGCTCAAACTCTTCAGTGTGACTAAAAAAACATACCAGTTTCCAATAATCAATCTAATATTCATTTATTCTTCATTGTTTGCATCAACAAAATCAGTACGATCTTATATTACAGATTATGTTGCCATAGAGATTATTATTATTATCAATTCTTTGAATGTAAACGCATGAATCAAGTTTTTCCTGCCATATTCTACTTTCATCTTTCTTTTCTGTACCCTTCATTTCCATATGAATTTTTTTACTGGATCATATAATAATTACCTTGTTTATTTCAGTGAATCAATAAATTAATTTTCAATATATGCATCTCTTAACAAGACAATAAAGAATAAACTACCTAAATCAATGAAAGAAAAAATTAGTAACTTTGTAAACATTATATACTGTGGTAACACTAACCCCCCCCCATGAAAATAAAATGGAAATTGTTTTTTTTTTTGGTTTTTTTTCAATATTCTCATTATTTTAATTTTCTTTAAATTAATTTATTTTCCAATGAAAAAAAGCATGTCCTTTTAATTTTTCTTTTTTTAAACATTAACCTTTACGATATTTCATTTCGCTTTATTATTTTAATCAGGTACTGTCTATAATCTTTATAAAAAATAAAATAAACGTATCAAAATGGCTGTAAACTATTGCAACTTGTGTTAGAGTACAGTTTTATTATAATAATAATCCAATTGTTTATAATTTACACTGTATAAATGGTTGTTTGTTTGTTTGTTTTCTATTTAGTTATTTATTTATATATATCTGTAATTCACTCATTATTTCTATTTTAAAAATTATAAACAATAAAATATAATAGTTGCTCACTAATATAAACTCATAATAAATACTACAATGTTGGCATTAAAGAGAAAAAAGTTGAAAAGAACTCTTTTTTTTTCAAAAAAACAAAACAACATTAGGTGAACACACTTTTAATAATCCTGTTTTAGGATTAACAATGAAATGGAAAGTTATAATTTAATCAAATTCATCATTTTGTTGTTGTTGTTGATGATGATGATGATGTTGATGTTAAGTAGAACGTTAATGGTATTTATTTATGAGTTCAATGAATTCACGAATATCACTTTATTTGTTATTAGTTATTGAAAGCACTTAAAATAACTGATGTTAAATAGACTATGAATAATACTTATCGCCGAAGCATTGCAGTGAAATTATATGAAATTGAAACCCTTAATCATTTTTTGTATACCATATTTAACAGAATTTTTATTTCATAAATCTCCAATGGTACTCAATGAACCGGTATAATAAGACATTGATTAACAATCCATATTCACATTACTTCTCATCGTTTCATATACTCTCACCTTCACCCCACTGAAAACAATAGAAGCGAAGATGAATGAACAAGTCCAAAGCTGTTTGTGATATAACTGCTGGTGTTATGTCAAGCTTATATAGGTTATTCTAGCCTCTGGACAGATGAGTCTATTCATTCTTCTCAAGACATATTTTACCCTGTCACTTATTCGCTTATCAACATTGACTGATTTTTATGTAAACGTATGTGTGTGCATCTCTTATCTTACTCATCACATGCCTTTAAATTATCTGTGTCTGGATTTAAATATCAATTCGCGCTTGGTTAAATCGAGTTGGCTCACTATCCTCCTTCATTGTGTGTCATTTTGTTTTGCTTCGCTTTCCAATCAATGATTTTACGAAATATACGTATTCGAAATGCATTCTCGTGCTTGACTTATTTTAATCCCGTTATTCACCAACACGAGTCAAGTCAGTGATAATATACGAAGATTAGCAATATGTATATTTCCAACAACAAACATTCATACAATCTAACTGGAATCAGCTCTCGGGCCACCAGTTATTGCTCACGACGATTGTACGATTGTAAAGTATGAAGTTGTATCAGATGCGATCTTAAGAGTTAACTACTAATAATTTGATCTCATAAGTAAATAAATCAAAAATAAAATCAATTCAAATAAAAGTCATTTATGGTTTTTATCATAGTAACTTATTTATTTCGTTTACATATCAAATATATGATTATCTATAATTAGATTAGTTGTAATGATTAGTTACCAATTGAATTCTAACTGTACATTTCCTACTTTGTACTAACACAATTAATCATGATTACATTAAATGTCTATACGATTCTTTCAACTTTGTAAACCTATATAGTTTCCCAATAAGAAAGAGGTCAATTAATGTGTATATTTTTTGGGATGTTAGCATACCCATTTTCAGACTATTGCTTCTATAATAAGAAACCATGTGTATATGTATCTTTTCTGGAGAAAACACTTATTGTACATAAACTATAGTATCATTATTCATCTATTAATATGGAATATCCCAAAAGCCACTATCCATTTTGATCATTCAAAATGTATTGCCTTATTAAATCATGTAGTTTGATAAACTTCGTTCATCTGAAAATGTTAAACCGTTATGGTTTGAAAATTGTGAAGGTTGTTTATCTTAAACACATTCTGAATCATGAGTGAACTTTATTTAGTCTCCTATTAACAGACAAATAAAACTAGACAGCCATTTTGTCCTAGTATGCAACGCAATAGCAACGTATATTCACAATCACCAAGTCTTGCCTTCAGGTCATTCAGTAACCACACTGTGGTTCAATGATGATAGAACTCAAGCATCTTGGGATTGAAAAAGGTACACCAATGGCAAAAGATCCCGCAACCGAGATTTCGTACTTTAAGTGAAGTAGAAATTGTGAACTATTTGATATCCACTTAATGGTTTAAGGAAATGCGCTTGCAGTAAGACCTGAAGAGCTTTCCTTTGATCATTAGGGAGTTTGTGAATGCACACTCCTGATAACTCACATATACAACAGGACAAAATAAACATCCACCCTTCTCTAGTCTTTACTTTTTACTTACTTACGCCTGTTACTCCTCGTGAAGGAGAATAGGCCGCTCACCAGCATTCTCCATCCAACCCTGTCCTGAGCAATCCTTTCCAGCTCCTTCCAGTTGTTATTCATCCTTTTCATATCGGTTTCTATTATCCGACGCAATGTGTTCTTTGGTCTTCCTCTTTTCCGCTTCCCTTCAGGATTCCAAGTTAGGGCTTGTCTCGTGATGCAGTTTGACGATTTGCGTAATGTATGTCCTATCCATTTCCATCGTCTTTTCCTAATTTCTTCTTCAGCTGGAAGTTGCTTTGTTCTCCTCCACAGAAAGCTATTGCTGATGGTATCCGGCCAATGGATGTTGAGTATCTTGCGTAGACAACTATTTATAAACACTTGTACCTTCTTGATGGTGGTTGTTGTAGTCCTCCAAGTTTCAGCTACATACAGTAGAACTGCCTTAACGTTGGTATTGAAGATTCTCACTTTGATATTGGTTGAAAGTTGTTTTGAGTTCCATATGTTCTCCAATTGTAGGAATGCGACCCTTGCTTTGCCAATCCTTGCCTTTACGTCTGCATCTGAGCCTCCTTGTTCATCGATGATGCTTCCCAGGTATGTGAACGATTCTACGTCTTCCAGAGTTTCGATATCAAAAGTGATTGGACTGCTGTTCTCCGCTTTGAATTTGAGGACTTTGATTTTCCTTTTGTGTATACTGAGGCCTCCTGATGCAGAGACTGCTGCTACACTGGCTGTCTTCATCTGCATCTGTTCGTATGTACGTGATAGGAGGGCTAGGTCATCTGCGAAGTCCGAATCGTCCAATCGATTTTGAGCTGTCCATTTTATTCCGTGTTTTCCTTCAGATGTCGAGGTCTTCACAACCCAGTCGACCACCAGAAGAAAAAGGAAGGGAGAGAGTAAACAGCCTTATCTGACTCCGGTCCTTACTTGGAATGCATCTGTCAGCTGTCCTCCATGCACGACTTTGCATTGTAGTCCGTCGTATGAGTTCCGGATAATATTGACAATCTTCTCAGGAACTCCGTAGTGTCGAAGAAGTTTCCATAACGTCCTCCTATCCACACTGTCAAATGTCTTTTCATAATCAATGAAGTTGATGTATAGTGACGAGTTCCACTCAACTGATTGTTCGACGATGATCTGTAGTGTTGCAATTTGGTCTGTGCACGATCGATCCTTACGAAATCCAGCCTGTTGATCTGGAAGTTGAGCGTCTACTGCGTCTTTCATCCGGTCCAGCAACACTGTTAAAAATTTTCCCTGATACTGACAGTAGTGTAATGCCTCTGTAGTTTTCACATTTGCTCAGATCTTCTTTCTTTGGAGTCTTGATGAGGTGTCCTTCTTTCCAATTCATCGGCACTTGTTCCTCCTCCCAAATCTTCTTAAATAGAAGGTGAAGCATGTTTGTAGTTACTTCGATGTCTGATTTCAGTGCTTCAGCTAGTATGTTGTCTGGTCCCACTGCTTTCCCGTTCTTGATTTGTCTGACGGCCATTTTGATTTCTTCCTTCGTTGGTGGGATGATGTCTATGGGAAGATCTGTGTATGCTGCTTCGACGTCCATAGGATTCATTGGAGCCGGCCTATTCAGGAGTTCCTCGAAGTATTCTACCCATCTGTTACGCTGTTGTTGAATTTCAGTGATTGGCTTGCCTTCTTTGTCTTTGACTGGTCTCTCTGGTTTACTGTATTTCCCTGATAGTTTCTTCGTTGTATCGTAAAGCTGTTTCATATTTCCTTCTCTAGTAGCTTTTTCCGCCGTCATTGCTAGTTCTTCCACGTACTTCTTCTTGTCGGCTCTAATGCTTTTCTACACTTGCTTGTTTGCTTCTGTGTATTCAGCTTGTGCTTGGACTTTCTCTGCTCGTCTCTAGGCTTAAGGGATATCTATTTTAAGTCAATCTTTGATGTATAATATATTCAACATGAAGGTGTGTTTTGAAATCCTGAACACTTAAATTGAGTCTGCGAGCATTTTGCGTATTTATGACCTATTGACTTAATGTACAATTCATAAAATGCATGTTTTTTGACACTGATAGCTACAACTTTGAAGCTGAGGCTTTATTGTTTATACCAACAGATACTGAGCAAATTCATCTTTAAATAACAGTCATACTTATTAACATGTAGATACATTTATTAATAGGATAAGTTACAAATAAGACAAAACAAGTACTCATATTTTCAAATGAATATTTCAAAATATAATTTATATTATTGGCTCTAAATAATTCGACTTAAGGAATACTTGTTGAAGTCAAAGATCATTTAATAATTACAAAAAAATCCTTAAGATGAATAAATAAATAAACACTATTCAACAGTTTTCATTTTTTTGACCTTCTACCAGTATTCACAATAACATTTGATCTTGAATCCCATAAGTCAGTAGAACTGAAATTTTTGGATAAAACAAGCAAAATAATAATTTTTTTTAAATATTATTTAAATTAAACATTGAAGAAGTCTACATTGTAATGTGTCGATGTTAAAATGAAATAGAATAATTTAGAAGAACTCTACTAATTCATTGAATTTATACTACCAGAATCAATACACTTGATGATTACGATCACATTATGACACTGGATATTAACTGTAATATATTTTATCATTATTCAACTGTACAATCAGTCAATTATAAACAACGTAAGAAGTAACATAAAGTATATATGTTCAAATTAAAATATCCTACGGCAAGAAAAATCTCAATTTACAATATCGACTATGCAAACAGAGTTATTTTTCCACAGAAAATCAATATACTTTACATTTCTCTATTTCTAGATACCAGGAAACTGATTGTTTTATGACTAAGTAGTTAAAAATTAGGAAGATTAGTTTGTAGAAAGCAACTAGTCCCTTTGATAAATTTGGATAATTCAGGGAGCATACGAAATTCATCAGCAGTATGTGATATATTAGAGCAATAAATATCGAACAATCTGGTTATACATATACTTCTTAAGACGAGTCTGTTATACTCCAATGAGTCTGGCAATTTACAAGTGTTTGTGCACACATACATAGGGAGTACGAATCGTGATCGCTATGTAATTGTGACTGGACACAAGATCAAATGAATTCAAATAACAACATAGGAAAAGCAAACATCTTTCGCCGTTACGAAACATTTGGTTTATATATATATAAATGGTTAGGTAGACAAACTGAAAGATAAGAAAGATAATGAGGAAAACTTTGTAAATCATATCACACTAAATAATAAATCAGTAGGATCAGGGTAAGAACAAGCCCCTTTTGAACATATAAAGGGGCTTCAGTCTTCATTTGACCGATGCCTTAATAAATCTTAGTATGCGTTTTCTAAACACGTATCCAACACTGCAAGGTTAATTTGATTTCCACCCCATGACTAATCTTAACCAAATGTTTCGCAACGGCGAAAGATATATATATATATATATATATATATATATATATATATATATATATAGGTTCAAAAAAACTTTTCACATTTCGTTGTCCAAACTTCTAATATGTTATTTTAGAAATCATAATAAGTAAAATATAAAATCCTATTTTCCAACAAACTTAACTAATCCAGATGGAAAGCTATTCTGCATGTGATCATAAGTCTTTCAATTTTTAGATCTATAAAATGCAGACTATAAACATTGACATATCCAGAATTCAGCCAGTAACGACTTCAGTGGAAATGATATCAGCAGGTATTCAAGCTTAAGTTCTTATTTTTAGTCAAAATTAGATTTGTAAACGATCACGATATAATTTAGCTTGCTAATATAATTTGATAAGGAACGAAATCAAGAATGGCTTCAAATAATTTTAAGTCGAAGATTTAGTGCATAAATCAGCAGATAAGAGCCTAACATACCTTCCGTGTTTGTTCGACATATCCGATTGAACGGTAGTTTTTCCAAAAGAATTAGAACGATTCATCCTACTAAAAAGAAAGTAAAAAGAGTTTTAAATCAAACAATAATGAATATTTATTGTGTTGACGATTTCAAAACAATGTTCGATAAATAAGGAAACCAGTGAGAAATATCACAATGTGTTACCAATAAAACTCACAAACAGATTATCAACAAATATTAAAACAGCTCACAATCCCTTTTTAAATTCATTGCGGAAACTGTTTGCTCCAAAGATTATAGCTTTATAAAATAATAATAATTAACTATTTAACTATTAAAACCCTTAATTTCAGATTTTCTGCTGAAGGATAACTATGTACGGTTTCCGAACCCGAAACTTCTCAGCCATGTGAATCATACAGTTCTAAGTTACAAACATTGTGGATATAACAAGGTTAAAGAAACTTACTGTGTAACTTTGCTCTCAAAACTCGAGAGATAATCTTGTGCCCACGAACATTAGAAACCAAAACTTTAAACAGATGAACCCACATGCAACCGACTACCGGAGTAGACTTACTACAGTATGAGTAACACACAATATGTATGCAGTAAGTTAATTAACAAATACAGGTATATGTGCTCAGCTTTAAGCCGCATGGTTGAGGTGTTAGTGATACTACCCGGTTACCTAAACTAAAGTAAATAAGGCATGATCTAAACCAGCTACCTACTGGTTGATGACCAGCAAAATATATTTTTATTTAACTTGGCATGTTTTAAAGACCAGAAATATCTTTTAAGGCATTTAGTCATGTTATAAAAAGTGTCATTTGTACTGAATGATGAAATAAAGCCTGGCTGTTAGAATAATGAACACTTTATACAACGAGCTATATTTGAAATATTGATTTGAAATTTTTTTATAAACGCAAACTAGAGTCCTAACTCTCAAATACTGAATAGTTCAAGTGTCTATGTAGCAAAAACCATAGAAATCACAATATTTTCTGCTTTATACTTCTTTAAAACTGAGGTTTAACCATAACAATCAGCTCTAAGCCTATAAAATGCTACAATGGCTACAGTGAAATGGTATCTTTAAATTAGTTCATAAATCACACCACCTTAAAATTATTGAAGGATTCTCTCACACTTTCAAACTGTCGACAAGTGAAACATTCGCCTAAGTATTCATCCAGCAATATACTCAAAACTCACACTATTATTATGTTTTCCAGGCGATTTATTGACCTGAGAAATCACTGTATATATCTAGTGCGATCTTATCTTTTAGGTACAGAGTTGTCTATATTATATGATTCAGTAAATGAGTGATCAGCTAAAAGGACTTACACACTATAGATTCGTTGACATTCTTATTTGTTTAAAAGTATTTTAATGTTTAAAATCAACTCGTAATTTTTTAAAGAGATTTTGAGCCATTAAAACGACCGTAATAAAAATAACTTAAGAAACTTTTACGCTCCGTACGACGCGAGATTAGCTACACTAAATATCTTCAATTAATCACGTAAAATAATCGGATGACAATTGATCATAGCTTTCAAATTGCTTAAAAACAAAGCTGACAAAGACAACCCACTGCTACTCTCGTTATCCAAAACAATAAACTTGCAAAATCACCAAACACTTCACAACTCTGTAACCAAATACCTACCGGAAGAACACCAACCTTCTGGCTTAAATTTTCATGGTAACATTCTTCATTCACATGTGAGAAAAGTCCCCTTAATATATATACTTTAAAGGTTACGTCAGACACGAGTTCATGCACAGGATTACCACAAGTGCTCTAATGCCCCATTTCCACTAAGACTCATTCGTAAAAGCAGGTATTTGGTCATACTGAAACACTAAATTTTATGTTTATATATGAGATTTAGCGCCATACAAACTAGATGCTATACAATGCTTTCGGTATAACACTATGAAGACACTAAATGTATAGACAAAATTAGTACGAACTAAACTAATACTTATGTTACATGTAACTTTACCTAGAAAATTCAAAGTTCAGTAGTTTCCTGGAGTTAAGGGAAACAGGAACCCAGTCTTGTAAGTTCGCTGAAAATTGTTCGTGAGATTCACGTGCATTCAGAAACAAACGTTCAGGTGTGTATAAAGAACATAATTGCTGAAAAAGTGATGGGAAAATGTAAACATTACTTGGCTACTTGGAATTGGATCATCGTCAGTGTACCAAAGTTGCCAATCTTGTAAGCCTAAATGTACAACTGCTAATCTGATGTACTGCCGAAATGTGCAGCAAATCTTGTGAATACTCAAATCATTATTTAAAATAAAAACACCTTCTTGATTATCACTAAAAACAAAAATAACCGTAGTGCCATTCAGACACTTTTCTAGTTCATAACTAGTCGGCCATCTATTGAATCCAAGGCCCAGGAAACTGTTTACAAATACCTCAAAATCGTCGTTTTTTGCATCTCCATCAAGATTTATGCAACTTAATTTTATGGATTTGAAATCCTCTAGTTTATTTATCTTGATTAGTCCAGCTACAGATGTTTTTTCTAAAGAATTCTCTTAATTATGTTACAACTTACCATTACAAATACTGTACCATCCAAGCTCGATGCCATTAGTAGTCAGATAAAAGTCTTTTAAATCATTTGGCAAAGTTAAGTTGTTAAGCGACTCCCATATTTGAATTTTTTCTTCTGAAACCGGTTCATTTATTTTCAAATAAACATCATAAACACCGGGTTTGGTAACTTAAAAAATTAAAAAACATGAAGATGAGTAGTACCTATTATATCTTTTAAATCTTGAAGTGTTTTAAGGAACATGCGAAAATATTGTGCTCCTCGTTGATATATGGAAATTCAACCACTGAATGACTTGATTATTTAATTCTATAGAGTATGCATGCCTAGGTAGGAAAGACACAGAAGTATACTTAGATCTGGGAACATAAAATGTTGACAGTTTCCATTGGAATAAGGTTTCAAAAAAAGAGCGGCAATTGAATAAGTTTATATGAAGTTGTTGTGGAGTTTATTTTGATATTATGGATGAAACAATCGTAGGAGCGATCAATCCATCAAGATGCATACGTCAGTCTCCAATTGTAAAGACAGAAGGTCAGATAACTTTTGTTAACCCTTTAGTTTTATAGTACTGCAAAGATCTTATTTCGCTTTGTATAAATCAGTAGTTGCTAATAGCGTATGTTCTAAAACCGAATCCCAGTAATTCGCCGCCTGATGTGCTAAACAGAACTCCAAAACCAAAAGACTAGATCTTGGTTTCTGAGATCTTTTGAGGACATCGTTTCAGGTTATCAGTCCTAGATGGAAGAAATAAATTACATATATTGGTGCAAAAGTTATTATTCTGTGTACAGCAAGCAAAAATGAAATTAACTACCAACCCACACTCGAGTAACAGAATTAAGTGAAAGCGTGTACGTCTATTTTCAGACGACAGATCATAAAGACCTTTCATTATTTCAGCCCCATACTTATCAGACCCATTCGACTACATCCACTTCATAGTCAAAATAAGAGCTCACTGATGAAATTTTATATTCCGAATTCGATCTCACGTGTATTTGGTATGATATTCTGAGAATTATTTTCATCTAAATCCCGATATGTTTTACGAATTTACGATAAAACTGGAAAGTCTTTGTAGGCAACTATCTTGTGCTTCCTCTTATATTAGTTATCTTTATAATCAGTGACCGAGGAGAAAGTAAGAACTAAAATGTAAATGTTCTTGGATATATATTTCAGTAATCGAATGCACCAGCATATGTAGTAGGGACAGACAACAAAAGTATAATTTAATCGAACGAATACAACTGAATTGGAATAATAGTCGTATTGGATTAAAAACAAATTTAGACCTCTTCTCAATTGGATTGGGTTCTTACTAACACTGGCAACTAGAATCAGCAGCAATTGTATTAGAATGAAAATAAAACTGGCAATAGAATATCCAGCAATTGTATTGTAGTTAAATAAACCCATGACTACATCAGACTGATCTGTATTGTATTAAAATGGATACAAAATGTCCAGAGTGTCAATTAGTCAGCGTGTCTCAGGTATTTGTAAAACAGTATAACAATGTAATACGATCGACAGATAGGTATATAGGCTGACAACTACTCAAAAGAATATTAGAAGGGTTCACATGTAAGGCACAAGTTAACCAATAGGATTGAACTAATTCATTTGACAATCACATGCTTAGTTAGATGTCGTATTTTGAAATGAATGTGCCATTTTACTTATCTCACAAATATGTATTATACAATGTCAGTACTTACGGTCCTGAGGTTATAACTGCAAACTCAAGCTCCTTATGATCAATAACGCTAGTTAAAGAGACTCCATATCTTATGTAGTGATGAAAGATACTATAGGGACCATATCGCTCTACTACACTTACACAAGAATTTACAGTATGACCATAATTTATGGACGACATTTAAGTGACGCTAAAGTGACTTTTGGAAAATTCCGCTACTCACTGGAGTTGAAAGAGGAATATAAATTAGTGTGAGGAGTTGGAATTAGCATTTAGAGTTAAACCCTAAAGTTAGAAACAATAGTTAAAAATTTCACTCCCAAGTGATATCAACTATGAGGTCAAAATACTGCTTAGCCGTAAGAATGAATGTGTTTAGTGCCAAAATTCAAGACGCTATCTTTAACTTCGTTAATTCGTCCGCAACTTTACATTTTCACAAAATTAGAGCACTTCCTTGTGTAAATTTTAATGAAACAATGAGAAGGTGTAGTTGATCTAAAAAAAATGATGCAATAATCTTATAAATTTCGAACAATTCAGTCACATATGCTTTCCAAGGCATTTTATAAGAAAATTAGTGAAGGTTAATGATATGAAATCTTAATCGATAGCAAGCCACATGATTGAAACAGGCCGTAGAACTGACATCGAAAAGTTCTGTGGAAAATTTGAGGAACGAATTATTGACTATTCACAAATTCAAACCTTTTTTATGAGTACAGAAACGGCCCGTCATAACCTTTAGTTTGTTCTGATAGTCTTTAAGTCATTTTATGGCCTAGGAGTAAAGTTCCATTATAAAGGTTTCTAATTCAATCTCTAGGTAAAAAATAGTTCACACAGATTCTCAATTCTGCTTTTGAGCCTATATGAGGGATTCTACTGATAGCTTAGCAGGGACCCTCAAAGAATAAGTCTAACGGAATATTAATGAACTTCCCTGCCTCTTTTTAACAAAAGAAGATCAACTATATATGAATATTCACTTAAAAACAACGCTTTTTCTGTATTTTTTGAATTTTGTCGATTTTCCTGGACTTTTTAAAAGATTTACTTCAAAGATAAGAAAATGAACGGAATATTATTCCTTTACAGTTAGCTTGAAATAGCAATATAGATCATCTCCATCAAATAACCAATAATATCATTGGTTCAGCTGACCTGATCAGCAATTTAATAAATAACACAGTTACCAAAAGCATGCGGTTTAAAGCACATAATGTAGGTTTAGACAATATGTAATGCATAGGACAAATTGCATGAAGACATATGGCTTTACAACACTTATCTCTATGTTTTTAAGGGCCGCACAAAAGTCACTCAACCATCTATATCAGAACAAAAGACCCTTAGAATCTGAAAAACAGTCAATCGACCTGTTCCGTGGAATTTCAAAACCACACAAAGCATTTAGTTATGGAAACGTAACAAATCAGCATCCAATGGTTCATATGGTTCTTCAGTCTTCAGTCTTCAGTAATAAGGATAGGAGGTCTGTCGACCTATATTAATCCTTGCAGTTTGTAATACTGTGGAGGTCCAATCTCGTTTTGAATATATTAACAGACGGTGCTGATATTACGTGTTCCGGTGGGGAATTCCAGTAATTCACTACTCGGTGCCGAAACGGAACTCCAGACGTAAACGGTTTGATCTCGGTTTTTGAACTTTCTTCGAATGTCCTCTCAAATGATCGGTTCTAGACGGAAGCAAAAGATAAGACATGTTAATACCAAGGTCATCGTTCAGTATACGATAAGCCAATATTAGATCACCCCGTACTCTACGGTAAGTTAACGGAAATAAGTTAAGGTGTCTCAGTCTGTCTTCATAAGATAGGCCAGATAGACCTTGTACCATCAAATGATTAAAATAGTTGTAGACTGAATAAAATAAGCTTTCGCTTAACGAGCTTGCGTATCTGGTAGCAGTGGATCACCAATAGCTCCAGGCAGGAACCTAGGTATATTAACGATGATAGAGGAAAAAGAAATTGGTAAATCATAGTAAGATATTATCTTTAGTTCTTGAGAAATGGTCAAGTTTCCTCTTAAAGGACTCCTAGGAAGTCGCTTGGACTAGCTCAGCCGGCGGCGAATTCTGGAATCTTACAGCTCTTGAGGAGTAGATATGTCTACAGACCGTTCTGCTGTGTTGTGTCTCTAGTTTATGGGTGTTACCCCTTTGGTTTGTGTTGGAGCTAAACTTAAGCAGGTGTTTAAGAGGATTGTGTGTCAGTGAACCTGTGTTAATTTCGATAGGATTGCCTTTCAGTGAAGGTTCAGCTTCTCCTTAAAAATATTCACTGATGTAGCCGATACCACTTGTTCGCGTAGGGCGTTCCAGTCACTGACTACTCAATGAGAAAAACGGGGCTCCACTTTAAGTTTATTAGATCGCTGCTTGTGAATCTTCTTTCTATAACCTTTGAGATTATTAGTACTGGAGGGAGCAAAAAGATACGACATATTAACACCCAAATCATAAGTAAAAATACGAAGTGACAGTATAAGGTCACCTCGCGTCCTACGATACGAGAAGGGGAAAATGTTAAGGCGTTTAAGCGATCATAGTAAGAGAGTTTAGAACAACCCTTCACTAATGTTCACACACGCTGGATATGCTCAAGTGAGTAAATGTCTTTTATCAGGCACGAGACAGCTTCTTGGATACAGCACTCTAAGTGTGGTCTCACATATGTGGGATATGAATTTCGAAACACCTCGTCAAAGCATTTGAATGCTCGGCGCAGTAACCATAACGGGATAGAAGCTTTTGCTCTTCGTATCTATTAACAGTGGATCAATGATGCCTCCAAATAGGAACCTAGGTATATTAACGATAAAAGAGGAAAAGAGAAAAAGGTCGGTAAATCATGGTAACATACTGTTCTTAGTCCTTAAGATTATGTCAAGTTTCCTCTTAAAGGACTCCTGGGAAATCGATAGAACTAGCTCAGCCGGCATCAAATTTCATCATCTGACTACTCTTAGGGGGTAGACAGTGTGTCCACAGTCGGTTCTACTGTGCTGTACCTAGTTTCTGGGTGTTACCCTTAAGGTTTATGTTGGGACTGAGCTTAAGTAGATATCTAATGAGATACCCAGAAGTTTTTAGGATGCCGTAAGTCATTTGAAGGTCAACTTTAAGACGCTTGTACTTCAACGAGTAAACGTTCAGTGGTTGGAAGCGCTCTCCATAAGGCTTGAATTTGAGTCCCTGAACTGAGTTCGTGGCCCAAGTTAGATACGCTCCAGAGTGTCCTTATCCTTTTGGAGTGAGGGACGAAATACTATGTTTCTGTCCTCTAAATGGAGACGAATAGAACTGTTAGGGATTATATGAAAAGTTCCTTCTTCGAACTGGCCGAAAATGCGCTTTAAAGTTATCAGTGAATGGTTTGCTCAGAAGACACTTTTGCTGCAGTTGGTGCAAGCTTCCAAATCATAAGGCACCAACATTCCTGAATCTTTTTCAACTTGGGATACCATTTAAGGGGAATTACTTAACCCATATTTGTGGTCTGTAACATGTCTCAGATGACCTAATTTACGCTCTGAAGTGTCATAAGTAGGTCTCTTGTCATCTGCTCAACTCTGGAGTCAGATCAGATCCTCCTGAAGTGCCAGTTTATCCTCTTGGCTTTATGTTGCCCTCCAGAGTTTCACATCATCAGCGAGAAGTAACAAATCTGACTATGCCTGCTATGGCAGAACATTTTTATAAATCAAGAGACGAAGAGGTTCAAGTACTAAAAACTGTGGGGCCTATAGCCTGAGGGGAAGTGAAGTTAACCCTGACCATAGAATGTCGATTTTTAGATATGAAGTGAGCTAATCAATTAAAGGTGATTTGATACTTAAGCGTTTGAGCTTATTGACAAAACATATGTGGCTAACCCTATCAAAAGCTTCTTAGAAGTTAAAATATATGACGTCAACCTTCCTCTAACGGGTGAGAGGTTGTAGGTTGTGAATTATTCGTTTGTAAATACGCAGTCTGAGAGAGACGGCGGCTGACTGTTTCTCTAACGAGTCGCCGACTCAACTTTTTCGAATAGCCCAAGATCATAGATGAGGTTGGAGAACCGAGTCTCAGTAGAGATTTCACCCTATATATGTACATATTCCGCGAAATTAACTTAGGGAAATTTGAAGTCCCCCGGAATCAGGATATAATAACAATATACGTTTCTACCAGGGCAGATACACGCCATTCTTACGGGCGTGAATGAATCCGAGACGAGTAAAGCTGGATAATCCTTCCAGACTGAGATCAATGTACTCTATATCAGCAGTGGACTTCCCGTAGATGACTCCGATTAGGCATCTCGGTGTGGTAGACAATCTTACTGAACACCATACGGATCCATCAAGATTGACAAACTCTTGGTTGTGTAGTTGATGTACTTTCAAGCAAGATCGCAAGAATAAGGCTACTCCAGCTTTTTTCGCTACAAAACCAAGATACCTCGGGTGTCGCTAGCCCCCGGTCTGCCAACTGAAAAGATAGCCATGTTTCAGATATTCCTATCAGTTGAATATTATTAGTACTACTGAGTCCACGCAGCTCAACCATTTTATTCGATAAACTCGCGGCACTCATATAAAAGAGGTTTATGCTTTCAATTTGAAACTCATGAGCTTCCACATCCTGTTTATCTGGATGAACCTGAAGTGAATGGGCAGGTAACCTACCTACACAGGGTTAGTCCCTATCCTTTCCACGTCCTTTTTCATGATTTCGACAGTCCACAAGTGGAATAGTAAGCCCCAACTTGCTTTTTTACCTGACCTTGGCATCATATGACTTACTCGGACGCATAGTGATTTCTGTTGGCACGAAATGCTTTGAGAGTTGCAGCGGATATATGGGATAATGGGCATATTATCTTGACAAGCCGAGGACTACAATCCCTTACTTTCTTGGCTAGTCTCAACATTTGTTGAATTCTCATGTTTTTGATCTTCAAGGACTGATGAACGTCTGTTCACGAATATCAGAGTTTGTGTAGCTAGGGCCCGTGTCTTCTGGGACACCTAGTACAATGATATTTCTTCCTCAGATGAACTTCTCGCGAGATTCCTCAGGGATGTTCCGGATGAGATTGAGCTCAAAATACAGTGCGTCAGGCAGTATTCTTACATTCTCATATGATTTCAGTAAGTGACCAGCTAGTAGGATATCCTCTAAGTCGGCAGCGTCAGTGAGTGTTACACGAAGTAGTCTTGAGTTAGCCGTGTGGCCATCAAAGACTCTATTTTGGGAAGTTCAAGCTTCTTGTCTAACTCTTCCCAGAGCATCCTGTCATGTTTGTTCTGCAAACTGAGAGGAAGGTAGAGCTGTCGTTAAGGTTCATGATTATCAGAGAATCATCACAAACCCTTATTGCTTTCCCAGGTTTTTGGATGCGTTCAGGTTGAGGAACTTGTTGTCTGGAGGTTGCAGCACGTTTCTGATTCCTAGGCTCTTTCCTGGTGGGATGGACATTCTTGGGAGTAGACTGTACGGCCAAATCGCCACTTGATTTCCTAGGGTTGCTTGTATGAATTCTTTACGATAATGGTGACATAAATGGTTTAATAGATTTTAGCAAAAGTCTCAATCTGTCTTCATAAGACAGACCAGAAAAACTATTTTGGTCCCTAGCTGCTGAACTCATTCTAGCCTAACTGCTCCATACTTAAAACAAGGACTCGCTGCTTGAATCCTATATCCCAAATGCAACCTCAAAAAAGTCAAGCATAATTGCTTAAACATCTCTTAGTCCAAATAATGACATAAACTGAGAATAACCCATAACGTCTTTGGCAGTGCAGCCTTGCAGTCATTTATAGATCTAGAGTTGTTGCTAACATAACTCCTTGATCTTTAGAATCGACTATTTCAGACAACACAACAGCATCTTTATATCATCTACAGAAAGTAGAACGGTTGACTTCGATACAAATAGTAGATCATTTACATAATGTGAAAAGGGGAGAGGATTGAGGACTGTGACTTAAAGAGCTGGATCTTTTGCAGATTCTGATGTCTACTTTCCCGTGGGCGCTTTGTTCTAAGATTTCTATCTTGTCTGAAATACCTATCTGTAATATCGTCGCTCACTGGTTCGCAGTTCAAAAATAATGTCTCTTCAGTTCGACCAATTAATAGAGTTCACATGGATCACTCCATGTATAATAACAGAAGTGCTTATTTATAATTGAAAAAACTGGGTTACTGTAGTATCCAATACAAAAATGTCAAATGGACATAGTTATGCATTCATTTCGGGACACGATATCTACTGAATTTTTCATCAGCTTCCACAACACTGTTAGAAACTTCTCCTAGTACTGATAGAAATGTGATGCTTATGTAATTTCCATATTTGATCAGATCTCCTTTCTAACAAACATCTTGTCCATTGCTTCGCAGCAATCTCATATTATCAAGATCATCGGGGTAATTTTACTCTGCCGAAAATTGCATGGGGTTCGACTCCGCTACCAGGTCGATAAAACGAGCTTGTTGAAACACTAGAAATTTGTGGTTTTATGGGTTATTCTCAGTTTATGTCATTATTTGGACTAAGAGATGTTTAAGCAATTATGCTTGACTTTTTTGAGGTTGCATTTGGGATATAGGATTCAAGCAGCGAGTCCTTGTTTTAAGTATGGAGCAGTTAGGCTAGAATGAGTTCAGCAGCTAGGGACCAAAATAGTTTTTCTGGTCTGTCTTATGAAGACAGATTGAGACTTTTGCTAAAATCTATTAAACCATTTATGTCACCATTAT